ACCGACCATTCAACATTTACCTCGACAAATTATTCACCTACGTCGTTTACTCAGAATAAGATAGCTTCAAATATGAATTAGGTTAATAAACAAATTTGTAGTGAGACAACCCCATATATTGTTGGATCATAACGAACATCTATTCATATTCACAATCATGTTACCGACTGACAATGATATATAGATTCAAGACCTTTTGTTGACTAACACTGAGTTGAATACATATGTGACTTAAGCATAGGTCGTTGTAATATCACTTGTTGTATTGTTTATATTCATAAGTAATTCATCGTGTTCTTTCACTCATTTACATTTTTAGAATATGTGTACTCGTTTGTATCAGCTTGTCTATATCGACCTTGTCTGTCTGAACTATATAAGCTGTGATACAAAATTCAATAAGCAATATGGTACAAACCATTTTCATACGCCCGCATGGTTATCTTCCGTTACATGAATGCATGAAATAGAATCTTCTAAATAAATTTCATAATCGACTTTTACATACCATCGTTGTACAATTGGGGTTAGCCAAATTGTTTCGTAGGAAACGGAATTTATTTTATTTTCATCAATTATAGTTTGCATAGTGCCTACAATTGCACGTTCTGTGTTCGGAACAAATCATTTGCAACATTCGTCGATTGTTTGATTAGTTGTGTTGTACTACTTGTTGAACTACTTTGTTTCTAGGAAAATTGTTTTCCTCTCATTTGTTTTAGTCGTCAACAAAGAAGTACACAACTAAAATCAGCCGAAAATTCACTATCATCCTACGCTGATAATCAACGGGTACTCGGAAATGATGTACAGGTGATCGTTGATCAGATGCCAATGGATATGAAATTAAAAATTATAAATGAGTTTAGAAAACTAATCACAGATAAAGTTGATTTCGATGGACTAAAATTAACAGAATATATGAAACAGTTTATGGATAAAAATTTCTCTTCATCTTGGGTTGTGCTAATTGTCAAAGGTTCATATTCAACCACATTTTTGCATCTTGAGGATTGTGCATTTCAATTTCGTTTGAATAATTACAGTTTTGTTGTTTGGAGAACATTTTTTGGATTTAATTAGGTTTTAATTTTATTTCACACAGTTATAACATTAGTAAGTAATGAGACACTGTTGTCATAATTCCTGAAAGTAAAGTGTATATTCAGTTTGCTTACTATTAAAAATAAATTATCTTTGGTTCTGGTATAATCTCAGTTCGCCAGATTCTGCTACTCATATATGCTGTTTCTGTATGCGCACTCAAACTAGCTAACATGGGTGAGAAAAACAGGAGTGAGTAGGAAGCTTCCATTGTGTAACCGGGTGGAAAACATATTCACAGCTCATTCATAGATGAAGATATCTGTTTCGTTAAATGGGATCGTGACACAAATCCTATCTCTGTCATTACCTCCCACTTATGTTTGGACCGATTAGCCAACCGTATGGAGTTCACTGTACTAAATTTCCACTTGAACGTGAATACTTTGTCTAGTGATATAATAATTATTAGAATTTCTATACATTCGTCTACATTGATAATTCATATTTTGAGATTTCCCAATGAAGTGCTTATAAATGTGAATTCGCAATGAACGAACTCGGGGATATTAAAATAAACAGTGAAGAATCAGTCTTCCCAATATGGATTTTACCATATACTGATTTCCTTTGGAGTGATAGTGAAAGATTCGCACTATAAAAACAAATAATTGGTTTCTGATGAATTGGTAACAGTGAGCATCATCAGTTCAGTATCATGCTAATATCCATCAACACAAAAATATTACTAAATACAACTAGTCTCCGTTTGCATCCACTTCTTCGAGAGCAACATAAGAAGTGGAATCAGAATAGTTGTATCCTGTATCAGTGGATATTGACAGATCGTCCAGCAGTCGCTTTCGAATAAAGCATTCAGATACAAATAGGGAATAATGAGAACTGTGCTCTTAGAAATAACACTGAACATTTAACCTCGGTCAAGTAGAAATTCGAGCCAATTCTCATCAACTATCACTTATAAAAAACTCTTTAAGAAAAATCTTCAGATTCGTTAGGGGAATGTTTACACCAGAAACCGTATCAAAATCTTTCCCGTTAAAACATGTGTTATTTGAGCATATATGCACTGATTCACATAAATATCACGAGGTATTCATGATCACTCTTAATTAGGTAAGTGATTCTCAGAGAATTTCAGTTGTTCACTAGTTCGCCTTAAATCAAAACACCTGTATATGTTATTGTAAGCTGAAAAAGTAGGTTTTTTGAGTGCATGTTAAAAACAGTAATTTAGGCTACAATTCACATATTTGTGATCATTTATCATGATCAAATGACGCTATAATTTAGAAGAGGGTAACTACTCGTGCTTCTTTGAAGTCTGTATGTTGATCGGTACCGAATCATTGAGAAGATAACATGTGGATATTAATCAACATATATCTGAGTGTAGTGATGTTTACACACATGATATAGATTCCAGATGTTGCTGATTTCAATTTATTTAGCCAATATTGAAACTTCGGTTTCTTTGTTCCATTGAAACTGAAGTGTTGATAAAAATATCAGGTGAGTTCTGGTAGCTTTTATGTTTAGTTAATTATTCGATATAATTAGGGATTGTAAATAATTCTGGTTTTTTTAAAAGATTTATGATCCATCGAATGAATGCAGTAATTACTAACTTTGTTCAATCTCAATTAATTTACTTTCGATTACTAGCACACATGACATAGACATCACTCACACCGCTAAATTGGAGTTCTATGAAAACTAGAAAGTGACCGGATGTGTATCTTCTCGACTCTACACTTCACCATAAATCCATAACACACTAAATACTATTTAGTTATCTTTTGGATAATACGGGTTCTCTTTATCAGTAGGAGTTGCGTTTCCCGTGACTAGAGTCAATTCGATTGACGAGCACTACACACTATGGTTTATGAGGAGAAAAATGAAACTGTTCACGGGTTGTTCAAAATTCACGAATGAACAAACTGGGACATTACATTGGGGGATGTAGTGAACGGTATTTTAGAGCATTGTTGTGCATCATCGAAATACCACAGAATCCACTTCGACCTATCACTTTGAGACGCACATACATATTAAAATTATGGTTTGTATGGATTAAGAGAAGAATACTGATTTATCAACACTGGTCGCTGTCCACTTAGGCAGCGTTAGTCGAGACAATGAAATCAGAGTGAATATATGCATTAATGGTTAACGCGAAAAACAGGGTAGACGACTACTCAAAGTCTATCAGGACATTGTATAAATTAACACATCAAATTGATCAATATATTGAGGAACAACAAATTCACATTTAGCTGAATTCTTAACGACTAGTAACCTAGAATCACAATTGTTTAATAACCTAATAAGCACTTTCGATACGTATTTCAATTCGGATTAACGATCTGTCCAAATGATTTGTAATGCTCTCACGACTGAATTCTCGTCTTATCTGTTTTGTCGTTGTGCCAGTTCCTACATCTCATTCTTCAACAAATCCGAGTTGTTAATTCATGACATACTTATCGCAGAGTGACTTGAGCATCGAGCACTAGAAGCATTCTAAAATAATCGAAAACATTATTGATGCATCTGAACTAAGTAGCTGCATTATATTTCAGGTTCTGAACATCTATGATGGAAGAAAAAGTAACATAAATTAAAAGTCGGAATTGTGCATGCGATTAATCAGGTTTCTCATCTTTTCATATTCTAAACAATCGAAGATTCAATTCAATCTTAAATAAATATAACTTTCACTCAGCCACATTTTCACAATTTAAGCATGTCTATTTTTTTAATTAATTGATCTTCATGTAGTTGAATAGATTATTTGGAAATAAATTTACATTCTCTTTCTTTTATCCACTTAGAGATGGTTTGAGCTATTTTCGGAAGAGGAAACAAACCAAATTACACTTAATAAGTTTTTAAGTGTTCTAGGTGTTGCAAAAGAGGAATAGTAAGTTTTGTTAAATGTATGCACTTTCAGTTTTAACAGTTTCATAGTTAATGTGTATTGATTGAAACCGTTAGAGTGAAAAAACAATGTGGTGATATAGTCAGTGTACCAGATACATTTCATCGATAGTTTTTTCAAGAGTACATTTCAGATTGTAATCACATGACTGTTTTTTCTTTAGTGTTATACCAGGACACTGAGAAATATCACAATTATGAACACCATATGAAGCACAACTAGTTCACATTGATTACAGCTCAATGGATAATGTGTTCGACACTTGGAGGGTAGGGCATTGTATTGGGGTCTCAGTGAGAGTATCGAAACTAGCATCGTGTTGCATTCAACTAATGAGACAAAAATAGGATGAAGGCAAGTCGTGCATTCTTCAGTTATCTACTCACAAAACATACTATTATCCTGATAGTTTAAACAAAGTTGAAATGATGGATATGTGAAATATAATGCATCTACTTAGTTCAGATGCATCAATAATGTTTTCGATTATTTTAGAATGCTTCTAGTGCTCGATGCTCAAGTCACTCTGCGATAAGTATGCCACGAATTAACAACTCGGATTTGTTGAAGAATGAGATGTAGGAACTGGCACAACGACAAAACAGATAAGACGAGAATTCAGTCGTGAGAGCATTACAAATCATTTGGACAGATCGTTAATCCGAATTGAAATACGTATCGAAAGTGCTTATTAGGTTATTAAACAATTGTGATTCTAGGTTACTAGTCGTTAAGAATTCAGCTAAATGTGAATTTGTTGTTCCTCAATATATTGATCAATTTGATGTGTTAATTTATACAATGTCCTGATAGACTTTGAGTAGTCGTCTACCCTGTTTTTCGCGTTAACCATTATTGCATATATTCACTCTGATTTCATTGTCTCGACTAACGCTGCCTAAGTGGACAGCGACCAGTGTTGATAAATCAGTATTCTTCTCTTAATCCATACAAACCATAATTGTAATATGTATTTTTTTATAGTGAAAAAATGCGAAGAAATACAATTCAACAACATTCAGCATTGTTTAAACTTGGCTCAGACATTGAATACATTTCTGGCGATATGATGTTACCACAACAAATCAATGTCAGCAATGAAGCTAGAAAATTATATCAAGAATATGAATGCAACAATAAAATATCGATTGCTACAAAGCTTAAAGAATTTCTAGATAAAGCATATGGTAGGTCATGGCATGTTACGGTAGTGGATGGTTCCTTTGCCAGTTCATATACACAAGAAGTTAATACTTCATTTCACTTTAAAATGAAAAATCTTTGTTATCTTATATGGAAAACACCAGAGTACATAGATGAATAATTGATAAAATGATTTCAGTAATAAATGTATTCAAACAGTAGAAACGTGTTTTCAAATACTCAAAGCGAATTTCGGAGTTTCTTCGTTGAGGACATTCATCATTAAACGAGTAACTAAGTGAGAAGAATAGTTCATATTCAGAGTTACACACGAAGAAACCGTTAAGAACGGTGAGCACGACGTGGATATCAGTAAAACAATGGGTCATTAACACTTGTTTCAGTAGTGGATTACAAAAAGTATTTCATTGAATGAAATGAATGGGAATCGACGTAAATGTTTAACCAGTGAAAGTTCTGAAATAAAGGCTGGAGAAATAAGAGTCAATGACACAACACTACTATAGAAGGAAACATCATGGTACATTCAAGTAGTTCAATGAAGGCCATTGACAATAACGATAGAAACCAATTGAGTTTGATCATTTAATCGCATTAGAAGTGGTGAATTCCATGAGACCAATGAATTTCAATAGAATATATTCCGACGTAATGAGCAGAGATGAGTGAGATTGTATGTAAAGTGAAGATGAGAAGAGAGGACATAAGTAAAACGCATCCATTTGATACTGACTTATGTAAATATATACATACATTTAAAGTTATATGTTTTATAGTACGTGGTAATGGTCAACTACATACCACGGAATAGATAGATTTGCCAACTGTGCCTTGTTATTCAATTATTGGTGAGTCAGGAAATGTCCTCAATAACCAGTTTATCCATCATACTTCACAAAAGCGGATGAGCCGATATGTGCGTCTCAAAGTGATAGGTCGAAGTGGATTCTGTGGCATTTCGATGATGCACAACAATGCTCTAAAATACCGTTCAATACATCCCCCAATGTAATGTCCCAGTTTGTTCATTCGTGAATTTTGAACAACCCGTGAACAGTTTCATTTTTCTCCTCATAAACCATAGTGTGTAGTGCTCGTCAATCGAATTGACTCTAGTCACGGGAAACGCAACTCCTACTGATAAAGAGAACCCGTATTATCCAAAAGATAACTAAATAGTATTTAGTGTGTTATGGATTTATGGTGAAGTGTAGAGTCGAGAAGATACACATCCGGTCACTTTCTAGTTTTCATAGAACTCCAATTTAGCGGTGTGAGTGATGTCTATGTCATGTGTGCTAGTAATCGAAAGTAAATTAATTGAGATTGAACAAAGTTAGTAATTACTGCATTCATTCGATGGATCATAAATCTTTTAAAAAAACCAGAATTATTTACAATCCCTAATTATATCGAATAATTAACTAAACATAAAAGCTACCAGAACTCACCTGATATTTTTATCAACACTTCAGTTTCAATGGAACAAAGAAACCGAAGTTTCAATATTGGCTAAATAAATTGAAATCAGCAACATCTGGAATCTATATCATGTGTGTAAACATCACTACACTCAGATATATGTTGATTAATATCCACATGTTATCTTCTCAATGATTCGGTACCGATCAACATACAGACTTCAAAGAAGCACGAGTAGTTACCCTCTTCTAAATTATAGCGTCATTTGATCATGATAAATGATCACAAATATGTGAATTGTAGCCTAAATTACTGTTTTTAACATGCACTCAAAAAACCTACTTTTTCAGCTTACAATAACATATACAGGTGTTTTGATTTAAGGCGAACTAGTGAACAACTGAAATTCTCTGAGAATCACTTACCTAATTAAGAGTGATCATGAATACCTCGTGATATTTATGTGAATCAGTGCATATATGCTCAAATAACACATGTTTTAACGGGAAAGATTTTGATACGGTTTCTGGTGTAAACATTCCCCTAACGAATCTGAAGATTTTTCTTAAAGAGTTTTTTATAAGTGATAGTTGATGAGAATTGGCTCGAATTTCTACTTGACCGAGGTTAAATGTTCAGTGTTATTTCTAAGAGCACAGTTCTCATTATTCCCTATTTGTATCTGAATGCTTTATTCGAAAGCGACTGCTGGACGATCTGTCAATATCCACTGATACAGGATACAACTATTCTGATTCCACTTCTTATGTTGCTCTTGAAGAAGTGGATGCAAACGGAGACTAGTTGTATTTAGTAATATTTTTGTGTTGATGGATATTAGCATGATACTGAACTGATGATGCTCACTGTTACCAATTCATCAGAAACCAATTATTTGTTTTTATAGTGCGAATCTTTCACTATCACTCCAAAGGAAATCAGTATATGGTAAAATCCATATTGGGAAGACTGATTCTTCACTGTTTATTTTAATATCCCCGAGTTCGTTCATTGCGAATTCACATTTATAAGCACTTCATTGGGAAATCTCAAAATATGAATTATCAATGTAGACGAATGTATAGAAATTCTAATAATTATTATATCACTAGACAAAGTATTCACGTTCAAGTGGAAATTTAGTACAGTGAACTCCATACGGTTGGCTAATCGGTCCAAACATAAGTGGGAGGTAATGACAGAGATAGGATTTGTGTCACGATCCCATTTAACGAAACAGATATCTTCATCTATGAATGAGCTGTGAATATGTTTTCCACCCGGTTACACAATGGAAGCTTCCTACTCACTCCTGTTTTTCTCACCCATGTTAGCTAGTTTGAGTGCGCATACAGAAACAGCATATATGAGTAGCAGAATCTGGCGAACTGAGATTATACCAGAACCAAAGATAATTTATTTTTAATAGTAAGCAAACTGAATATACACTTTACTTTCAGGAATTATGACAACAGTGTCTCATTACTTACTAATGTTATAACTGTGTGAAATAAAATTAAAACCTAATTAAATCCAAAAAATGTTCTCCAAACAACAAAACTGTAATTATTCAAACGAAATTGAAATGCACAATCCTCAAGATGCAAAAATGTGGTTGAATATGAACCTTTGACAATTAGCACAACCCAAGATGAAGAGAAATTTTTATCCATAAACTGTTTCATATATTCTGTTAATTTTAGTCCATCGAAATCAACTTTATCTGTGATTAGTTTTCTAAACTCATTTATAATTTTTAATTTCATATCCATTGGCATCTGATCAACGATCACCTGTACATCATTTCCGAGTACCCGTTGATTATCAGCGTAGGATGATAGTGAATTTTCGGCTGATTTTAGTTGTGTACTTCTTTGTTGACGACTAAAACAAATGAGAGGAAAACAATTTTCCTAGAAACAAAGTAGTTCAACAAGTAGTACAACACAACTAATCAAACAATCGACGAATGTTGCAAATGATTTGTTCCGAACACAGAACGTGCAATTGTAGGCACTATGCAAACTATAATTGATGAAAATAAAATAAATTCCGTTTCCTACGAAACAATTTGGCTAACCCCAATTGTACAACGATGGTATGTTAAAGTCGATTATGAAATTTATTTAGAAGATTCTATTTCATGCATTCATGTAACGGAAGATAACCATGCGGGCGTATGAAAATGGTTTGTACCATATTGCTTATTGAATTTTGTATCACAGCTTATATAGTTCAGACAGACAAGGTCGATATAGACAAGCTGATACAAACGAGTACACATATTCTAAAAATGTAAATGAGTGAAAGAACACGATGAATTACTTATGAATATAAACAATACAACAAGTGATATTACAACGACCTATGCTTAAGTCACATATGTATTCAACTCAGTGTTAGTCAACAAAAGGTCTTGAATCTATATATCATTGTCAGTCGGTAACATGATTGTGAATATGAATAGATGTTCGTTATGATCCAACAATATATGGGGTTGTCTCACTACAAATTTGTTTATTAACCTAATTCATATTTGAAGCTATCTTATTCTGAGTAAACGACGTAGGTGAATAATTTGTCGAGGTAAATGTTGAATGGTCGGTTTGAGATTCGTGAAACTGTGAAAACACCTAAATCCTAACTGAAGAATGATAAATGTCTTATACACATAATCGACTTGTTCACCCCTTGCTCAGATAAGTGAATCTGGAAAGAGATGATTACATGTAAACAATATTAGGCGTAGATTTAACTTAGTCAGAAGAATAGACAGTATTAATCTGAGCACAAAGCAAATAATCTATTTTAAAATCAGATTATGATATTTTCAATTTTCAATTGGAGAAATTATTAATTTGAAATGTGTTTCTATCTAGTGAGCTAGATATTTTGAGACTATGAAGCTTTGATTATCGTCGTAGAGAACATCATTGTCGTTTCCCAATAGAAGTAATATCTTGACTAATGCAACACTAACTGAAAACATTCACGTGAATTTCGCATATTCACCATAATCCTTCCAACACGATTTGTGTAAATAGATAATATGTGAATATTTTTCAATGAGAGATACAAAAATAATAAAAACTGGTTAATGACTTACACATCTCTGATATTTAATTGTAGATGTTCACAAATATCTTCTAGACTGAGACGATTAGTCTTTCTTAATTGAAATAACTTCATCCAATTCTAGTGGTAAATAATATAATTCAGTAAACATTAGTATTCTATGAAAACGTTCAATGTTTGTTCACTTTCACAGTCATAATTATCAACTAAAAGTCAATAGGACCGTAAAGATTATAAATGACTTTGGCTTTGAGATGTAGTCAAACTGCAAAATGCACAATAATTTCAATTAACAAGTGAAATAATTGATATAACTGGATAGTCTAGATCGCAATTCACGTTATGAAGCGTCTTTTGATTCAATAACTCGATAATAGTGTATTCGCTGAGTGATCTACATGTGATGGGTGTTTCTCTTTAATTAGGTTGTGGACTCACAACTCAGATACATTTGTTCTCTCCAACATCCTTTCAAATTACAATTTATCAATAACATTTCATCAATGATTTTCTGTATTCTACAAACCAAGATTTGTGCTCATTGATACCTTTCTTCAAAAATCATTGAAAAAATTTCAGTTTACTAGAAGCCAATTCTAGGCACAGACCTATGTGAATTAACCTACTGGTGATCACTCTCTTCAATATCCTAGCAAATTCTAT